AAACACGTCAGATAAAATTTTAGCCGTAACTTTTCACTGACTTACCTCATAGCGCGGCATGGTTTGACCTTTTATGGCTTTTCCGCAATTTCAACATAGCATATCACATGCAGTGATGTAATTACCGTCGGATGACATAAACCTCCCGTAACATGATATTAGATCTATCAGCAAGAGTGCATGAATATGCTGTGATCGGGATTTCTTTTCGAGTTTCTAGCCTTCGGGGCGATATGACTCCCCTACCACATCCCACCCACATATTTTCTTCGTATTAATTTGATTTACGTTTATACTAAATCATTTGGACCATTCGAAAAAAAAATTTGTTGTTGTACCAAGCTTGGATGAGTATAGCAAACATAATATTTTCAATATTTGACTTTTGGACTCTATCGGTATTGTTCAAAAGTATAGCGATATGCTATATTATACTATTGAATGTTTTACCAGTCGATTGACATATATAGTGCTAATGAATATCGTGTAACTGTCCTGTTGATCCCAACGGTACGCGCACAGTTCCCAACAACATAAATCAGTGTAATATGTGAATAAATATTAAGTTTTCTGTTGCGTCATAATGCGAGGATGATGACGCTTTACCCGCGGGATTTCGATGAAATCGGCGGGAAAACTCAAGCAAGCAACAGGTGAAACATACTCGACAACAAATCCAGGCCTATTTCTCACGCGATTGGTGAGAACTTACTGCACATAGTCATCTCCAGTTGGCGGCGAAATACGCCCGGGACGCAATTTAACACTGTACAGTCTTGTAAACTTATAATAAGCAGTTTTCCCATAGTCTACTCTATATCACGGTAACTTCTATCATTTCATCTCCCGCGCATTTGGATGTTGTAGACTTTTATGGAACAAATGAATTAACTTGCCTCCATGCCAATTGTTGTTGACAGTAAAGTTTTGGCTTCAAAGAGATGATTGATTAAATTAGAGTTGCCGCTACATGACAGTTAATAATATAGTCCATCATAACCATATTCCGAACTGAGAATAAAGTAAAATGCTTACCTAATGCAGAATTGCACATGACGAACAGTTTACGAAAAAATGATAAAACTTATTGATTTCACTTGCCTTGATAGGAATACAGCCATCTTTACCATGCAATAAAATGTTCCTGAAACTCCATCAAATTAAAATACAGTTGAAACTTTCATTGCTTATCTAAGGAAGGTTAGTTACTAAATATTAGTGTGTTCTGTGTAAAAATTTACACTTTTTTCAAGATTCCAATTAGTTACACATTAGTGAAGTATCGTCACAATGAACTCATTCATACCACAAAGTGAGAAAAAATCAGCACAATGAAGGGAATACCATTATTGGACAAAGTGGTATTATAGATTGTTTTGTTGTTGTTGTTGTTGTGGTATTATTTTACCGTAATAATAATATGCAATTTTATTATCCATTCTCGGGAACGAAGATTTTCGGTCTTGAAACAATACTTTTCCCGTAGGCACAATCTGCGCCAATTTTGATCATGAGAGCCCACTTTCAGCGACTCTTGAAGTGATCAGGCGCGATTCGCTTCCTAATCAAATTTGCTTCTCATTTCTGCACCTTGCGACACAAAAACGCTTTACAGCTCTCGAGACTTTAGTTTTAAAGCTGTATTTACGAAGTGGTGTGGCCAGCTGTCCGCCTGCTTAGCTGGCGGAATATCTGTCCGAATTAATTACCTAACGCGCCACAGAAGAACAACGTATGTTCGACGACGTTGCCTGTGCACCGACATTGAAAATCATATATCTGCTTCGAAACACACAGCTGAACAATCACAGCTGAATCACACTAATTAGCAGTTTAATTTGACCAAATTAGTCCCCAAAATAATAATACAATGTAACAGACTGGGTCAACGTGACGTCATGAAAACACATTTATATATCGCCTGGTTGTGTATCCGAACTAATATCCAATGAACCGGTAGGTTATTTGTATATATTCATATGATAGGAATAAAATTCGAACTTTACTTCGCAAGTATATATATTGATATTTTTTGAAAGTTGTGAGCAGAGTGTAAACTGTATCTTAAACTGACTGCACAAATAGGCTCAACCATCTGCCAAAAGCTGGTCTCAGCGTTGTCAGACAATGGACAATTATTCAAAGAATATTACACTACCATACTTGCTTAGTGCTAGTTAAATTTCGGGGGCAACCCTGAATACCAAGAATAATCACTACAAAATAATGCAAATTGTGTTCTATATTTTCCTCAGCACGTTAAATGTCTTAGAACCGATCGCAGTTCGATCGCAAAATCGTAGTCAACACGGACCGATATAGACTTTGAGACAATAAAATAAGCCCGATGAAACAACCAAGATTCGACACATAAACATGCATTGTCGCCCATGTTAGAGATACTAATAGGCTCGCATGCCTGTCGATTGTATCTCATACTTATATGTTGATAATAATATTGTTTTCGTTATAACGTCCTGGTGACGGAAAAGATTGACAGAATAGGAATAAAAAGAGTCGCATTTTTAAATAGAAAAAAGATACAATTCCATCGATTAAGTGTACAATTCAGTATCTTCATCGGAGCACAGACAAGAGAAAGTTTTCATGGGAAGTATCGAGGTGGGGCGGCATACCAATCAACTGGCGACGAGTGATATTGCACTTTCAGAGGGGCTTGAATATGACTCAATGTCACCCTCCTGCGGATAACGGTTTTATATATCGTCACGCTAATAACCGAATTGCGTAAGTCATTTTTGGCGATTTTGAGTTTTTGGACACGTTTAGTGGACATAACGATCGTTTCAAAATTTTGTTGTTATTGTTATTTGTCTCCATCATTTTTAAAAGATCGCTTTTCTCTTCGAATACTGGACCAATTGCTTTGAAATTTTCAGTGGTTAAAGATGAAATTTTTCTCCAGAAGGCTATTACTTTTTTTTCTTCGCTATGACGTCATCAAAATTATTGCCATTGGGTGGCGCTACGTGGGCATATATTTGAGCATAGCTCTCTTGTTTATAAAATGGGTATTTATGTAATGCTGCGCACCTGTCTGTTAACGCAGATTTTAATTTAAGAATTCCAAAAACCATAAAAATGGAGATTTAGTATGACATGCATATTTGTGCAATTGTTTCGTCATAATGAATTATCATTGTTACCGCAGGACTATTGTGACGTCACAAAGGCAAAATAACCTCGGCTAAGTATTTTCGAGTTTTTGCCACTCGGATTCTAGCTTAGCGCGTATTAATTTGAATTTATACTACAGTATAGGAAAGCGTGCACTTGCTATATTCACTGTCCGAGATCAATTCACCTTGGTTGGCTTTTATATTAGGTGATTTGCTGTCTTATTTCGGTGGGTGTGCAGAACGTGTTATATTGATGAAATATATTTTTCTAAACATAAAAAATAATGTAATTGAAACTGATTAGCTACTTTGGGGATTAGACATTGTATGTACTGATAATTACATTCGTTTTTGGAATGTTTTGTTTTCAGGACTGGTGCATATAGTAAAGTTGCAAAATTGCGTATGTCCCCAAGTCATAGACACATTTCTGCCTAAGTAACAATGCGCCATTATGACGTCACTTGACTGCGTCATACAAATTAACTTAAATCCGGCTACAATCAAAAAAATGAACCATGGCAAATTATTGACTCTCAATGGCATAACAATATCATTAGGAAGTTTTTTACGTTTTTCTCAAAACTGCTAAAAATGACTTGCGCAATTCGGGTATTAGCGTGACGATGAAGTGTTTTTTTTTTCACAACATTTTAGTGACAGATTTTCCATTGTACAGCACGAAATGCTATTTTGCGAAGTGCTTTTTATTTCACTTTTTGAATAAAAAAATAAAAATAAAAAATAAAGAAAAACTTGCCTATTTACATTACAACGGCATTACAAGAGAATAAAACATATATACAGGGTTTTCATGAAGTCCTGTTTCAATTTCAATTTAAGTATGAAGTTAGTTTTCAATATATCTTAACCAGATTTGTTTTTTATTCAGTGTTTATGTAAGTTCTTTACTTCATTTAATTTTAATATACCCATATCACACCAACAAATTGTATTATATACAGTATATACATTGTATCGATGTACCCCCTTTGCAATTGAGAAGAATTTCAAGACTCAAAAACACTAGTTATTTGATTTTATAGTAAGCTGGTTAAACTATTTCGTCTATTCGCCACGCCAAACTTCTCCTAATAGAACGGTGTCAACTTTCAAGCTATGTTACCAATATTCTCGTTAATCTTTTCAAATTTCTCAATTTTCCTTTCATTTGTCCATATTTTGTTCCCGGTACATCACATCCAAAAGTAAAAAATGTTCGGCATCATTACTATTTTTGATACTGTATAAAATATGTAGGAGTTATTACGCTGCCACCAAGACTCTGGAGAAGTATTCACCGTTACCTAGAAAATTACTATGGACCGGAAGAGTGTTGGTTTGCTTGCCCTACATAATTTATTACATGGTTGATTTCGAAGAAGTATGTTGATAAACTTTGACTGCTCCAGACATTCTTCCCCGCAAAATTAAGTTGTTCATGAATAAGGCTGGCTGATAACATTTCTCATTTGTAGTTTTTTTTGTTAATATAGTGAATGAACAGATATAAAATCGCATGTTATTTGTTTACCCCAGTTAACTTACATCTTCAAAACAAGCTACACAGGATCCGTTCAGGAGTATGTGCGGCAACTTGTAAATTTTATCATTAACAAGCAAACTTGGTGATGTCCTAGTTTGAAGCAGGTCATAGCCTCAGCATAAGATGTCATTTGAAGCAGCAAACACACAGTTCCTTCCACTCAGCGAGTGATTAGGCGGCACATGCTCGTTTGAGAAAACTACTTTGCTGTATACGCTTTTATATATATAAATATCCATAATTTGATCTGTATTTATTGCTAACCATAATGTATTTTTCGTCGATTTCATAAGTTTACAGTGTCATCACTCCTTGTGGGTATTATAAAGTAAAATGTTCGTGGTCATTATCGCTTTGTTTGTGGCATGCATTACTCGATTGTTCTTATATTGGTATAAAAGAGACAGTCGCTTACCACCTGGACCAAGAGGAATACCAATGTTAGGTGTGACTCCTTTTCTTGGAAAACAACCAGCAAAAACATTAATGGAATGGACCAAAAAGTACGGTAAGGCATACACGGTTAGACTTGGTAATCAGGAGACGGTAATACTAACAGACTATGAAGACATTTACGACGTGAGTATTAACTTTTGCAACTTACGTTTGTTTTTATAAATCTCGATTGCTGGTTGTCGAAGAAAGACGTGAATTGTGATCAAGATAGTTTTCACATGAAGTCGTTAAAAAAATTTCATGAAGACTTTCCAAGTACCTAAAAGACATGATAGTAAATGCAAATGAAGCTATTTGTATATTTTCAATTTTACATTGAAAGAAGCGCTTCCTGACTCCTGAGCATTTGGTTATCTTAATTCGCCTATAGATAGAGGCATGTAAACTCAATAAATGACAACGAGATAACCAAAAAAGGACTAGAATGAAAGCAATTTTCTGTGTGTAAATCCGTAACATTTTAGCCTTTTGTGATTACCCACAAGGTCATGGTGAATCGATACATGCGTTGTTTCAGGGGTGATAAATAAATTCTCTATATTAGGCCCTCTATATTGTTTTACACAGTAAACCTTGATAACTTGAATGTCGAATTCTGACAAAATTTGTATCAAAAAATCAAAAAGTATTCAATGAATTTCCGTCGATAATTTAAAAAGTTATTTAACCATTTACAGGTGCATATTCGTCAAACTGGTAAAATGGGAGCTCGACCACCGTTCACTGTATTCGACGCATACGCCAAAGGCCAGGGAATAGTATTTGCAACCCCAGACGTCATAAAAGTTCATAGGCCTTTTACATTGCATGCGTTGAGAAGGTACAGCGAATATTTATTTCATATACATTTCTACCTACAATTTTAGGTACTCCCGAAGTATGTGAACCAAGATGGCGGACACCGTATGTGTACCAGGTTAGAGTTAGACAATAATTTTATTCCAATTTTCCTTATTTTAGTTCTATTACGAGTTCGGGGACTAGCCAAGTGACCCCCGTAGTATTTGTACCTGAAATTATGGCCTAACCCTAACTCGTTACACATACTAGGTTCCGGTGTCCGGTTCCGGTTCACATACTTCGGGAGTACCCAATTTTTTTATGATGGATTTTGCCTGCAAACAAAAGTAACATGTTTACTGGCATTTACAAGTCAACCTTCCAAAACATTGCAATTTCGAAGATATTTTCACATTTGGATGTAGGTTGCTAAAAAGGGGATAAATGAAGTAATATTTCTGAATAATTTTCGGTATTGATACTGTTTTATAGTTTGGGAGTTGGTAAAAGTGCAATGGAAAATCGAATTCATCAAGAAACGACATACTTGATCCAATCAATCAGAGAGAAAAAAGGAAAGTCGTTCAGCCCCAAGGTAAATGATTGACTCAATATTCGGTAAATGAAATGCCTTGTTAATTCAATTTTTGTTTATTTTATACCTGGCTTGCATCACAAAGCGAATGTTCTTAACTTACAGTCGTACAATTCACTTCAACAGATTCGGGATTGGGATTGAATTTAAATTAAAGTTGTTTATTAGATTTCCTATGGTCGTAAATCCAAATTTTTGGTTTGACCTGGTAAGACTAATAGTCCGAAGATGGTCTGCGTTGAAGGGCAGATTAAGTTATATGAACCGACATTGAGATCAAGACAAGAAGTATTAATTTGCGACTTGAGAGAGCGGGTGAAATTTTTTCCAAAACCGATGGAAGTGTTAAATTTCACAAAACCTATTTTGACAGAACTTTTGTGAAATTGTTTTCAGAATTTGTTCCTGTACGTTGCTTTGAACATATCATGTTTGAATTTTTTGGGCGAGAGGTATTCATACGATGATAAGACCTTAAAGACAACTGGAACACTACTGATTCGTGGGTAAGTTTAGCGTGCAGGTATTATTATTATACATCAATATTGAGTATGAACGGACTGAATTATTTGCAGACAGTAACCAAAACAATGGTTTTATACAATGTAATAACAAATAAACGGTGCTTAAAAGAATAAAGTAACAAATTTAAGTGGTACAAAAGTTGTTAATCTCGAACCGAAAATAAAATGCAAAACGTTGTATGTACTGATATCAAGGATTGCCGAAAACTTCTTTCTCATTGTTTAGATTAAGGGACAATGGCATGTACATTTTATTAACAAACACCTGCTCTTATCTGGCATCAATCCCGCCGTTTAAAAATGCAATGAAAGGATATGTGGATGATATGCATCGTATCGCAGGTGGAAGAATGTGATTCTATTTATTAACTGTATAAACAATTGTATTCGGGCTCTGACTTCTTCCGTCTGCAGGTCACGTAATGTAACTGTTTAAAGTTTAAGCGAAGAAATACTGGTACATCGAGTACAATTTTTAAATATTGTATATTTTAATTGCATCTTTAATTTGCATGGTATAACAACGAAAACTCGGTGAACTATCACTTGTTTGGTTTATAATTGCTACCTATAATGTTAAACCGGTTTGTTGCTCTTTGTGCAGATTTAGCTCAAGAAAAGATACAAGAACACAGAGACTCGTACGATGAAAATGATTTGCGGGATTATATTGACATTTTTCTTCGGGAAATGAAAAAAGAAGATCATCATTTATCATTCAATGTAAAGAATTGAATTTTATACATTTAAACAATATGCAACTGTATAATCAACCGTTGTAAGAACAGTCCATTGGTATCAGTCAGGTTGTGGTTACATTATATCCAAACAATAAACATCGAGATATTAAGTGGGAGACCGGCTCTTCACTCTTTATGCAATATCGCAGCTGAGTCTTAGCTATTTTTAAGTTACTTTAACATATATGCTCTTGTGGAAAAAAAAATTAAAGGAAACATTAGAGGTGAATTTTTTCATTACAATCCTAGAGTTGTTAATTACTATAAATTACTTTTCCTGTAATCAGGAAAGCCAACTGAAGACGACACTGTTTGGTTTACTTGAAGCAGGATCACAAACTCTTTCGTTGTACTTGCAATGGTTGCATGATTGCGTTGCTTAATTATCCTAAATATCACAAGCTAATGGAGAAGGAAGTAAACGACGTGGTTGGTAAGTTTGCTTACTGGTGTATCTAAACCACTGGTTCTCAACCAGTAGGCCATGGCGCACTGCTGGGCTACAAAAAATAATCAGAATGGGGCCACCAAATCTATTGAAAATGCTATTAAGTTTAAATTTGATTGTATTAAAAATGAACGATAATGCTGTTTTTTGCTACTAAATTGTAATTTAGTAATGCAGACAATGGAATTTTTGTGCAGCGAAAGTGGGCCACGAAAGAAGAAAGGTTGAGAACAACTGATTTAAACATAAATGGTCCAGAAAAAGTGAAAGCAATGCAAAATGTATTACACCATAAAGAGATTTTGTTACACCATTCCTGGCTTTATATGATAGAATACAGCTTACTAGCTCGCATTCCTTATTAGCATGTTCGAATTATTCTAGTTCAAACATATAACGAAAGTTGTTAAACTCCACTCGCCTATTCGTTTTAAATACCCTTTGCTTACATTTTAGGTTGTGGCAAAAAAGTTTCTATAGCGGATCGCAAGAACATGCCGTACACCCAGGCATTTTTGTATGAACTGATGCGTAAATGCACACTTGTCAAAATATTTGATAGCTGCTCTATGGTGGACGGAGTTGAAGTCAATGGATACAAGTTACCAAAAAACACAGGGGTACACATATATTTTTGTTCAACATGTCATCTCCGATCATTTAGATGGTAACTGTGTATTCAGGTCGATATTATTTTATTGCAGGGGTGTGCAACGTTTAATACACGAGGTCCGGATACAAATAACTGGATGAAATCGCGGGCCGCACCTTTACTTAACATAGGCTTTCTAATAGTTGCATACACAAAATGTTTGGTTATTGACCTTGTGACATGCCTTCGCTTTGCACAAGCTCAGATGTAGGCATTGCAACGCACAGGAATTGGAATTACTCGCACATACTAGATTAAATTGAAAACTCATTTCGCTGGCCGCACACCATTCAAATGTGGCGCTTTTTCGCGGGCCGCACAAGTTTTCCTTGTGGGCATTTGGCCCGCGGGTCGCACACCCCTGTGTTAGTGCGTGAGCGTAAAAAGAATAAACTCGTGATCGTCATCACAGCAAGAGATTCGGTACCCTTTGTGCATATATCAGTTCTTAGTACCGTAGTACTCTAACTGGATTTACTACTCGCTGAAATCAGCGATATCATGTCTAATACAATTATGCTGATAAGAAAACCCTCCTTGACGCTTCAACAATTGGCATTGAACGACAAATGAAATAATCATATATTTTTAAAATCTGTAATAATCGTGGATTCATACCAGTGATTAGTAGCCCAAATTTACATATTGATTGCTCAATTCAACAATCACATGATATCAATTCTTAATTACTGCACATGCAATAATAAACTTCACTTAATGTGTTTCAGATCTATTCGATTGCTTGGGCGGTTCATAACGATCCTCGATTTTTCCCCGAGCCAGAGAAATTTAAACCTGAAAGATTCATTGACCCGGTAACTGGGACCTTCCAGAAATCAAAATATTGGATTCCTTTTGCAATTGGGAAACGGAATTGTCTTGGCGAGCAACTGGCGCAAATGGAGCTCTTCATTGTTGTGGTAACCTTGATTCAAAATTTCGACATATCCATTGAAGACGGTGCCCCATTGCCATCGTTGGATGACGGTATAGAAGGTGTTCTGTACACACCACCTCCAATAAAGCTACTTATGACTGATAAAGAATAACTAAGATTAAGGAGTAATTCAACATGATGATGACAACAATGAAAATTGTCTATTCGACCTGTAATTGTTGGGCTATAAAAATACTGCGAAAAAAATTTCCGTACGATTAAAACGATTTCAACGTTTTTAAAGTAAAAACAATTACACGGATTTGTCTGATTAGGATTAATTTTCATGATAAATAGCAGAAACAGTGGATCATTCACCTCTGTCAAAAAATAATTTCGAGAAAATAATAATCAAGCTATATAATACGAAAAAAGACAATTTGTAATTTCTCTTCATGTTTTTTCTCTTGATGATTCTCGTATTTTAGCAAAATACATTTTAGCACAATTTTGCCTGACTCGTAAAATGTTTAATTTAATTAAATTCGCTGTCTGCTCTATATAATATGGGCAATAATATGCTAATTTTATCTTTTTGAATACAAGATACAATTTCAGTTATTTGTTAAGAGTTTTATGGATTTGAGAATATGGTAATAGTTGTTCAGAATCTTGACGTCGCAGGATAAAGTTGACGATATGACACAAATATAAATATTTCGGCGCTCTCAAATATAGTGGCTTTCTATGCGTATATGTCTAGTAGTCTTAAAGCATTTAGTAACAAACTAATCATAACGAAAATATTTTCTTCCGTCCTATTACAGCAAACCCACAAAGAAAGATTACATGGCAAATTATATGCGCGGTAAAACTGTGTATCTGTGATGTAACGTATATACAAGCAACAATGGTAGCAATCGTTCTTACCAGCGAAGTGAAAATCACAACAGAAGTGTCTGTTTATTCATTAAAGTTTGAACAAAACAGAAGAGCCAAAAGGCAAAAAACATGGCAATATTGCAACCGTTTGCGCGAGGTGTATAAATCAACTGTCACGTGGGACAAAATATGGTATTAAATCTTACCCCGTTTTACTGGTGAACTCAATTTATTTTCCCACGTATGTCACCATTACAGTGTACATACTGGTTTGACAAAAAATGATGGAAGAGTAAATTCCTTTTATGAATGCCAATATTCAGAAAAATATGATTTTATTCTGTATTTGATGACGATCGCAGCAACAAAAGCGGCTTGCTATTATGAAGTTTGATAGTAAAGGCCTATTACGACAGTGGAGAAAGAAAAATCAGTAAGAAAAAGGGGTATCACGGGCATCTTATCAATTTTGCAGATTATAATATGAATATTGTCAGTTTTAGTATTCCATTTACAATTTTAAATGCGACCGATACAGAAATCAGTGTTAGGCTACAATATATATGTATATCAGTGATTTAATCGAATTATAATTTGCCAAATTTAATATAAAAAATTCAAACAAACAGAATATACGATAAAACGTAACCAATTCGTCAAATCTGTATTATACATTAAATGTCACGCTGCAGTGTTCCGCCAATCAATTTCTGAAATATTCAGAAGTTTCCACTTGAAGTTTTCGAAATGTAAATTTGATGTACAAAGCTTCCATCGAAATCAAGTCATGTTTCTGTCTGCTGCCGTTGTAACAATTTTCTTTTTTCTGTATCGATGACGCACGTATTTCATGTAATGTGCAAAACTAACAATCCGGGTCCTGTTTAGACTAGGTCGCATTCGCAAACTGATTCTGTAAGGCTATTCATTCATATCAAATATCGAGCAGTGAAATGCTCATTTGATCATCCAGTTAACTAAAACCGAAGTGCCAGATTTGGACCCGCACTACTATCGATATAGTCATATCGAACGATTGTGTTACCAGATAATTTTCATTGCGTCAAACAGCCGATCTTCACCGTTAGAGAGTATCGTCTGCCATATAGCATAATTGCGAATATAAACCTTGTTTGACCTCCAAAGTTAATCATTGCAAAATCATTGTCCGATTTAGTTACGACATCAGCAAATATTCTTATTGTCAGTGGGAATTAACAAATGTTTGGGCATTAGAAGAAATCGTTATAGAATGGTAATAACCGAGATATACCGACGGCTAGTAGCTTTAAATCCAGCTTGGCTCTGTAATTACGACATCAGAATGTGTGAATTAAACAATAAACTGGCTGAGTGGACAATAATTGCACATGTGTAAGTACAATCACGAGACAATATATACATTATTGCAATATCAGGAATAAAAACATCCTAATGTAGTTTTCTATGATATCTGAGCATGGTTTTAAAATTGTTGCTTTCTCATATTTACCCAGCCGCTGCCTATATTCAAATATGCTTAATTTTGTCATCACTCTCCTCATCGTATCCATCATTGGATTATTCATGAATTGGTACAGAAGAGACCATCGATTACCACCAGGACCAAGAGGAATACCATTCTTAGGAGTGGTTCCATTTCTTGGTAAACATCCAGCAAAAACCATGACTGAATGGTCCAAAAAGTATGGAAAAGCTTATACCGCAAGATTTGGTAACAAGGATTTGGTGATTCTGACCGACTATGAACATATTTATGACGTAAGTGTAAATTAAAGACAATAATCCCAATGTGATCTAAATGCAGTGAGATCGGCGGACAATATTCTTTTGGAATTTAAGTCAGAGAAGATTCTGAACATTTACTCGAACGTGTTGAAACGCTGGATATGATGAAAGCAATGCGATGAATGAATGACACACTACAACAATTCCCACTTGAATAGGTGCATTTGGCCATCACTGTTATATTTGACAATCGCATCGTCAGCATTGTGATGATATATATGTTGAGAACTTCCCGAGTAACAAAATTTTCCTGCAATTTTTTTTTTGCTTTTTTTTTTTAATTTGCATTCAAATTATTTGAACAATGAGATATTTTTACTTTATTATATGTAGGTTAATATTCGCCAGTCATCGAAATTGGGTTCTCGACCACCAGCACACGTTTTTGATGCGACCAACCAGGGCCGAGGAATCGTTTTTGCAGACCTGGATGTGGTGGAAATTCACAGACCTTTCACTCTGCAGGCTTTAAAAAGGTACATGTAGACAATTTAACTGAAAAAGAGGGATAATGAAAGACAAAAGGTTTTCGATTGACATTTGTCGCTTTTGTCGTTCAATACTGAATGTAGATGCTGCAGATCACTCCATAAACAATTTTGGTGAAACTTTTAGAATAGAAAAAAAAGGTAATTCGCAATTTCATTACCAATTACTTAAAATGATCGATAGCTTTGACCAAGGAGTTTCACCTATCCCAATTTCATCGGTATGTGAGGGAGTATGTGTACTGCATTCTCAAACGATACTGGTTTGTCTTATTGAGCTCAGGGTTCGACCCAGCTAAATAAATATTTGTATTATAAACGGCAGGTATCATCAAGGCGTTCCCTTTTACGACCCTACTTGATATTCCAAACAGAGTAATAACTATCTGTGCTAAAGAATGCTAAATACAAGCATACCTGCTATTTTTATGTCAATCCCGATCTCTTTTGATAGGCTGGGAATGGGCAAAAGCTCGATGGCAAATAGAATACATGAAGAAACCTCGTATTTAATTCAAGCTATTCGAGAAAAAAGTGGTAAACCGTTTGATCCTAAGGTAACTTTATTTCCATTGTGATTTAGTATTGCGGTCCGATCCGATGTTGCAAGTCAGATCGGCATTCCATGGTGTTTACTTTTGTAAACAAGTAGTTGCATATAATAGGCAAAGACATGGCCATTTTGATTGAAGGAAGATTCGTCTTGGAAGCTTTTTTACCAACAAACAGCTTTGAATGAGGTTATACAGTTTTCAATTAGTTAAGGGCGATTATCTAATAATTTCGTTAGGGATTCGACGCTTGTACGAGCGCGTCCTTCTCAAATTGTGGAAATTATTTTGCCGCAAGAGTAACGTGACTTAAAGCTTCAAATGCAATAAAATAGCCAGAGATAGAATAATGAGCAATACAAGAAAAGATTGCCAAATATATGAGATGCGAAAGCCAAAACGAAGTAGTATCATAATACAGTACCGTTTTTTCCCTATAACATACTCGACTTTTGTTGATAACAGTCGCGGAACCATCACAGTCGGTGCGCAATTTTTAATTTTGATGACGTCATCGCATATAACTTCATAAGGAAAACAAATTTCATAGAGTCCACAGAAATTTACTAAGTAAGTAATGGCTTTCTAACGACAACAGCAATCTTCAACAACTGAATATTTCAAAGCAATTGGTCCAGTATTTAAAAAAAAAGTCATTTTTCCATAGCATCAATAATAAGGAAAAAAACACTAACAAAAACAACATAATAATAACAAAACGATCCATAGCTCAACTTCGTGTCCAATATTCATAAAAAAAATAAGTGATTCAGGATATTCTGATATATTTAAATATTATGATTTCCAAACAGAATGACCCAAATATTCATTCTAGTTGAATCAGTAGGAATTCATTCATTTGACATAATCTCATATTACATTAAGGGACTTCAGCTTTTCTCAAATTGCTCTCAAAAATAGAATTCCAACTATCTAAAATATAAACTTTTTACCGTGACAGAACATAACTAGATATTCCATGCTCAAAATCTGGTCTTGTATTTTTCTGGAAGCTGCCAAAAAAACCATGTCCCCCGTTATTTTCAGACAATTTCAGCCATATCCAACTTATGCAATTCATTTCCAGGATCTGTTTCTATATGCGGCTATGAACATAGCATGTTTGAATGTGGCAGGAGAGGGATATTCATATGATGATGACACACTTAAGGAAATGGCTTCGAAATTAGTCGATGGGTAACATAACTGAAACTTATTTGATAAAACATATTAAATGGATAACACAAAAATAATAGATTGCATAAAATTAACGTCGTTGAATCTCATCGTACTCCAAATTGGCTAGTTAGTACATTCCTTTAACAAGAAGAAAGCAATTCTCAAATATATGGAAATGATGGTCAAATAATCCACTTGCATAACTTCGGAATGAAATTCCTCGTTTTCAATGGTACCTCGGCCATTTATTGTCCATACAATACTAAACTGGTTCAGTTCGAATTTTATTTGGTACACGCATTACTCAATAGCATGCAGTTGCAAGTGAAAATTACATTTGTGCGACACTGTTGCCATACGATCTATATTGCAGGTTACGAGATAACGGCATATACATTTTTCTGTCAAACGTCTGTGGCTATCTCGCGTCAATACCTCCATTCAAAAGTGCAATAGAAACGTACGTCAACGACTTTAATCAAGTCAAAGGTAACGCAAAAATTCATTTGTTTTTTTTAATTTATGTTATTGTGGATAATGTTTTTTTAAACATTGACTTAACAGACATTTATTGAGACTGTAGAAATTAAATTTTCAACAAAAAAGCTTGGTTGTTTTGTTTGAAAACTAAAGTACCCTGAATCGCAGCGTTTGTTTTACAACTACTATAATGGTAAGCAGAAAATTATTATTTATGAAACATATTTTTTCCCGTATTTGCAATGGTTGCGGTCGCTCAGCAACCTAAACAACTTTCCTGTTCGTTGATGAATGATTGACCGCCGTAGCTATCACCAACCGAAACTAAAAAGTGACTGGAGTTACCTCCGATCTCGATATATGCGCCTAACCTCGACCTTGGGCCAAAATTTTATTTTCTTCCTTAAAAGTTTGATGTGGCTGGTTGTACATGAAGTATAAATTGTGCCTTAGAATTCGTACATAGAGGTTGCTTAATTTAATTTTTCTCATCAAATAAAATGATCGCTCGATTTAATGTTGCATATGACAATAGATAAAATATTTAATCGCTGCAATTGTACAGAAGAAGTACAGCTGAATGATATGGTGAATTATTTTTATAATTACTGTATATCAATTAAATTTCCCTGACTTTTATTTTTACTTTCTCTTCCAAATCATATATGATGATTCATATCAACCTTGTTGGTTAATTATTGAATGGATATGTTTCTCTTTGTGTTTATTGCTTTCATTTATTTCAATTTTTATTAACTCGTTTTTAATCTTGGTGTCGCAGACTTATGATGACCATTTCTGGTCTTTCGCGACTTCCAGTCAATTGCAATGGAATCCGTTACTGTAACGCATAATTACTATACAACATTATTGGCTGTATAGGTATATTGAGTTGACTATGCAAGAATATTTGGGTTGGCTATATAAATATTTGTATTGCAAATGCTTCTGGAGTGCGTCCGTATCATGTTCCCAACCTCACTTGAACCTTATGTCTTGTTATATTTCTCTCTTCCCAGCTGCCACACACACGCATAAAAAATGTGTTTCTCGAATATTCTACATAAAATAAAGATGGCATTGTAATACAGAACAGGAGAGTGCAATATATTTTATGCCAATTTGGGTTTCCACAAAATATCATTACTCATTATTTTGTTCAGATACTTTCGGACGCAAGATAAAAGAACATGAAAACACATACGATAAAAATGATTTGAGGGATTACATTGACATTTTCTTGGAAGAAATGAAAAAGGAGGATCATCATCCAACATTCAACGTAAGATATGGTGAATTCACCGCGTTTCAGCGAATGGAATAAATTCACAATTTTAAACACAGCCAATTTACTCAGATTTATATTCAACAGAAAAATCAACTAAAAGTTACTTTGCACAATTTGCTGGATGGCGGATCGCAAACGCTTTCATGTACTTTATCATGGTGCATGCTTGCATTGCTACATTACCCGGAAAGTTATAAGAAACTCAAAAAGGAAGTTGACGATGTTCTAGGTAGGTTCTGATAAGTAGATCTGTTAGCAGAATCGATCAAACAAACCATGCAAATAATGAACTAATTCATTACAATGTTGGAACAAAGTAACTGTTTTATGATTTTTATCGATAAAGTTAATTAATTATCCATTAAAATTACCTTAACGTAGTGCGTATTTACAAACAATTTATTAGTAAAGTCAGGTGGGCCATATCGAGTTGTTTTATTTACTTAAATTACGTTCTCAAAGCTATATTTTTGCAAAATTTAGTTTTTCTATTTTGCAGATTGCAGTGGAAAAATCACTATGTCAGACCGCAAAAATATGCATTATACCCAAGCTTTCATTCATGAATTGACGCGAAGATGCACACTCATCAAGGTCTTTGACAGTTGCTCTATCACAGATGAAGTTGAAGTCGATGGATACAAATTACCAAAAAACACAGGCGTAAGCACTTGCGCATTTTGGCTTTTTTTTTTAATTTCAGATTCCAACCGTTCATTGACATTTTTGCGTTACAGGTGAATCATGCTTAAAAGTAGCGCTTCAAATTTTCTCAAGATTTCTCGACGCATTGAATACATATTTTCTGCACCAGGATCATATATTCACACTGTCATACTATAATAACATAATTATCATTCTCGTCAGTCTACTAATCCAAAATCAACCATATATATATATATATATATATAAGTTTTCTGTATTTATTTTGATAAAGTGACTTTATGTTTCAGATATTCTCGATCAGTTGGGCAGTACATAACGATCCATCATGCTTTTCTGATCCCGACGATTTCAACCCGGACAGATTCATAAACCCAGAAGATGGAACTTTTCAAAAGTCAAAATACTGGATGCCATTCGCGATTGGAAAACGAAATTGCCTGGGCGAGCAGTTGGCACAAATGGAGCTTTTTATTATTTTAGTCACTTTAATCCAGAAGTTCGAAATTTCGGTAGAAACTGGAACTGAAATTCCATCACTTGATGGTGGTAACGAGGGCGCTTTGTATACACCTCTTCCTATAAAATTGATTATGACTGAGAGAGAATAATTTTAAAAGATTCAGATAGTAAAATGCAAAACACGATGTATGTTGCCTCTTTTTCATCCATTTGTTTGGTTTGCTGTACATGTTTGATTCACTAAATAAAAGTGTGTGATAATTGTTTTCCCGACCCCGGCCCAGAATATTTTTTCCCATAATAAGCCAATACAAAATTTATGTAACTTGTTATAAGAGTACAGATGCATTTAAAAATGTACATATCAACCAGTCGGATTATTATTATCCAGGTTTCTTGAGTATTTTAAAAGAAACAGAAATTTTGAATCGAACCTAGCCCCCAGTTACGAGGTCGAAAAGTTTGAACACCGATTTCAGCTGTCGAATCCGAAAACTTTGATGTTTTCGTGTTTTGTTTAAAAAAAAACTTTCTATCCTGAGTTGAAAGAATTTTGACTCTGACTACCGCTCTTGAGCCACAAAAGCGTCAAAGCTTTGAATGCCCATTCAAAAACTAATGCAAGAACAATCCAGAGTTTACTAAATATATAATTGAAATGATTGTACAAGAAGTGTACATATGGATCGTTCCTATGAGTTCCTGTAAAACTCGATATTTCTGAACATGAGCTGCAGACCTTGTGTTACAACTTGAGATGTGTATTTTGCTACTGGTATTGGAGAGTATATGGAATCGGTGTCAAAATTTTGACATTTTCTGATAAGCCGTCGGGTTGGGGGTAAACTTACACCAGACTCCGAACCATTTTAAAAAAGCTATTCTGGGTTGACAAAAATCTCACACCGTCTCTAGATGAAGAAAATTTTATATCCGACTTCAGAACTCTAATTTACTTGTCAGAACTCTAAAAAAGAGTGAACTGCTGAAAATGTGGACGAAGTGGTTGCTCATCTATACAAGTGCTGTAACCGCGGTTGAGCACTGCGTTTACAGCAAATATCGGCAGACAATTGTGACGGCCTTCAACCATATTTAAGGTACTGAAAATTCAAAATGGATCGGTACATTGGTTGTGGAGAAATGCGACAACAACAACAATTTAAAAAACTATTCACGGGTCCACTTCGTTCCAATAAGAATATCTGATGCGTCGTCTACTTTTCCAAACTGCTTACGAAAGCATTGCTTAGAGAAATTGGCTGGTGATTATGGTCTCGAATCAGTAAACTAGTAACGAATGTGATCGTTTTTGTATTCGCGATTACACTTTGGTCGAATTGTATCTGATTGTGAGTAGTGTACTTAGTTATCTAACTTATTCGTGAATTTGCAAAATGTTCAACAACTGTAAAATCCAGTAAAGTTATGGTTAGGGTTGAATATTGAGCAACTGAAAATATTTATTTAAATTTTAGATAATTACCGCTATATTTAATTCGACTAAGTTGGTCTAATGGTCTAAGGTAGAGATGTACCGATACCCACGAGAATTGCCGATACCGATATTTCAAAAAGCCGATATACTGTATACATTTACCATCTTGATTGTGAGGAAGAGACAGAAAAAAATTGTTAGTACGTATGCAAAGGTACGTTTCAACACATTCATTAAACAAATTATGGTAGTTTCTACAGACGTTTTGGTACGCACAGGCGCAAAGAATCGGGTGTTTGATCAGCGTAACGTATAAACTTGTAGTTATATAGGTAAATTAAAATGCTGCAGTACACTACAGTAATTTAGTCTCAAGCTGGGTGGCAAATAAAGGTGCTACATATCTATTACCGGTAAGTGTTGAACCGGGAAACAAATTGTTGTGTGAAGCGGTGCAATATTCAGTATATTGGAATACTAAAAATTCAATTACCAGTTGAGACGCTTTGATCATGGCGTCAGAAAATGGTTCATCCAGCACCAGTACGAGTAGCAAAACTGAAATAGATGCAGAAGACATTTTATCACTGAAAACCTTGACTGATGGAATTTCAGAACTGGAACAGCCCAGAGCTGAAGGTGGCAAGCATCCACAGAAAACTGCTATTGTCAAGATTTCTGTAGGTGATAAAATCAAGGCTCAGTTTGTTGAAATGCTGGACTTCCTAAAGAAAAGCATTGCAAGGTACAAAGGGCTACTTTTTGCTGTGATTAAAAACAGTAAGAATTTCAATATTTTATTTAAACGCCATATTACCCGAAAACGTAATAATACCAGTTTCTACCCGAGGGAGTGGGCGTGACTCAGTGGCCAGCCCGGTCGGTATGCTTGTACGTAACACTGAACTGGAAATACATGGAACGATCTTCTCTCTCGTTTTGCGTTGTCGCAGGGCGGGACAATTTGATCGCCGCCATCTTTGCGTTTATGCTTCCGAAGTTTCTTCGTGTTGCATCGGGTTTTGGCCAGTTTTTCGTCTATTTTACTACCCAGTGCGTCACATATGGATCTATATGCGACTTTTTGTGGGTATTCAAGCATAATTATACTTGAGTTGGGAATTTATAGTCTGATGTGGATCTCGTTCTTGAAAAAAATTGGTTGTTCAGGCGAATATACATTGGAAATGAGTGGATACAATTGTTTTTGCCTTATATCATAAAAATGCAATAACCTCCACGGGGAAGCTTCCACCTACGAATTCGGCAGAGGGCGAAGCGCAGTTTAGTTGGTACTCCCGTAGTCTGTGAACCAGGTTAGGCCATAACTTTTTTCCGACTTTCCTCATTAGTCATTCTAGTTCCATTACGAGTTCGGGAATTGTGTGTTTGTTAGCCAAGTGAATATATCATGTGTCCATGGGATTCTGCCCTTTACACAACTTGGTGTAGAGTAAGCGAACAATATTAGTTACCTCCATATTGGTATACGCACTTATGAAGCGCTCTTTAGTTCTATCTATATGTACAGCTCGGATACTACGGAACCAGGCCACGCAACGATAATGAGCGCAAAATACTTAAGTCGATAAAATAAGGCTAAATACAGGTAAATGGGAAAGCGATTCCGATAAGCCATCTTGGCTAATGTTTTGTGGTCGTTTATGTTCGCTTTTGACTGATACGTTGGCCATATTATCAACTCACGGCCTTCGCAAATTTATAAAACTGCCAAAATTAGCACCGTATGGTGGGCTGGGATATACTAGCGTTTGATACATAATGAGACACGAATCAAGATCAGGAGAATATGCGAGAAAAATCGACGCAAAATGATTTCTATCTAACCCCATAAAAAAATGCATTACGCTTCTCGCAAAAGTTGGAAGTCTATCGTCAAAACGAGAGAGCCTTCAAATGGTCCCGCGGAAACGAGAGAGGAGCCCACTCTATTTATATATCTCTGCGGTACGTTATCACCCATTATACTATGAGCAAAGGTTCCATTACATTGCACCCACGTACATTTGCACCCGTAATTTGTATTCACGACAATTGCACCTGTATACTATTGCACCTATGGAAATTTTTTTTACGGATATTTGAACCCATACTAACCCTAACCCATGGAGTTTAGCACCCGCATATAGATTGAACCCGCGGATATAGAGGACTTGCACGGGTCACGTGACATTGTTACTGGACGGCAATAAAACAAAAACGTCCATTTGGCTCCTGTCAGTCGCAAGTCGGATTATACGTTTCCGTTTTGTTTGGCTGTTGAAAATGGTTATTTCGTATTGTTCCGCTGGCTGTACGTATAGTATAGACAACGAAATAGATCTTCAGCTATATTCCACTGTTTTCAAAAGATCCGGAACGTCGCGCAATGTGGATATCATATATTGGCAGGACTGCTTGGTGTCAAGTCCAGAAGCCATCTTACTTGTGTTTCACTGTTTGCGGACAGCACTTCGTTGATGGTGAGTCATGATGTGCCGTTATCAATTTTTTTAAATATTCATAAGCTCCCTCATTTCAATGGAAAGCAGATAACAAACTACTGTTATTGGGAGGCTTAGGCGTAGGCCTACTTGCAGACTTGACTCGTGTAAGGGCCTACTTGCCGACTTGACTCGTGTAAGGTATTAATCAATAATTGCCATAAGGTATTGTTTCTCTAGTTAGCAGGTAATCTATTAGTAAGTGTGAAAATTTGAATAGATAACTAAAGTTTAACGCCAGTGCAAATGCAAAAAATAACCAGAATTCAATTGAATTCTCTATCTGAGAATACGCTCGCCACCGCATCTCTGATCCCCCTGGGAGTTTCACAGGTTCCAATCCCATGCGGGGATAGTTATGTGCGAGGGGATTGCAGCTCTCCTCCCACTAAGGGTGGTTCACACGACCGCTGGTCGATTACGACATCCCCCACCATCAAGTCCATGCTTCTAAAACAAATAACTGGCTCACTAATCCCGACATAGAATGGTAATCGTACGATGTTGCACCTTGCAATCTGTCCCCAACCACAGATAAATTCTATCCTAAAAACTAACCACATTGGTAGGCATAGTTGCGTTTTAAATTGAAAGAAATCTTCATTAATGGTCAGAAGGTGTTGTCTGATTGTTTTGTTAGTTAGCAGGTAATTTATTGCTGATCTGATACACAAACTTGGCACTGTCAAATGATGATTAGTGTTTAATTTATTTTCAGGAAAAAGGGAAGATAACCCATTATCAGCTGCTTACATGTCCCATCGATATTTGAATTTTCGCCATCCCCAGAGAAGAAGAGAATAGTTAAAAAAAAGGAGGATTTTGAAGAAAGGCAAAAGGCAGGACCATTTCAACAAATTCTGTTAACTTGTATGCGTTGCAATATTAATTCGCAGTTGTTAGCATAAACATTTAATGTGTCTTTCGACTAGACCTACCACACTTTTAAAAAAAGCCGCCTACACCCCTTTTCACTAGAACCATAATACTGTAAAATATTTGATAGAAATTACCCCCGAGGCATCATCTTTCATTTGAAAGGGCTGTGGAGGCAGATACATTTTTTACTCTAAATTATGGAATGTTACTTCCAGGTTATCTTATCCTTGCTTATAGATATCTTGAGGTTAGTGACTCCAACTGACCCATGCATGCCACACTGAAAATTCTCTTGTGTACCCATAAAATAAGGCTGTTGGAGCCTTCA